ATCGACCCGTTCACCTAAATTACACCTAAGACCATATTACCTAAATTGTAAGAAAAAATGGAATTACACCAGATACCAGACGAAAATCAATTACCCAAGAAAATTCCCAAAAATGTAAATTATTTGTGAGCCAATCCTCTCACCTGGTTTGTTTATCTCTGTCTTCACTATTAGTGATTGGTGATAGCCCTTACGTTCTGAAGTCAATGATTGCTTTCGTACACCACAGAGGGCGCACCCCATCTTCACGATGTCATGCTATTACGAACATCGTCTTATACATTGACTGCAATAGCCACCTTTTTTGTATCACAGAAGTTTGTAAAAGCAGCGATTTGGTTGGTATGTACGTTACCGATTACAAACTGCAAACGAGCAAGAATGTTTACAGTATATCTGTTGTTCTGTTGATGCAAACCAAATCCGATCAAATCGATGCACTCCGTGATACATGAAAGTCAAGGTATAAGACACAATTCGTAAACATTGTATCTATTCTTTTATAGTTTGATATTCTGTATAGTTTTCTTTGGACGAGTTTGAATGTGAGTTTGAATGGCAGAAGAACATTCCCAGCGAATCTCTTTTACATCCTACACTTATTCTTAATTGAATATCCAAAATTATTCACATCTGTTCAAAAACTACCTTTTGAATATTTATAATTAATTATCACGCCTTAGCTTTTAGATATCTGTCTACCTTTTCAGATTATAAAAGGCGAACTGTTCATCTGCAATAAGCTAACATTTCTTTCAAGAGAATCCGTTGAACGTGATAGATTTATACACGTCCAAAAAATACATTCAAAATTGATGGGATGTGATTGTCTAAATATTTTACTAGATGATGCAGGCCTTTACAGCATTTTCTTGCATTTTTCGCAATAATATCGACAGACATTCCCGCATATCTCTGCATTCTTCACAAAAAATTGACGTTCACTTCGTCAAATAGGGCGAATAGAAGGAAGTGACGTCCGTCTGAAATTCTAAAATTTCAAAGCTTTTCCGATGACGTTATATGACGTAATATTTAGGTAAAAAAATGCCTTAAAGTGACGAAGGTCTGGGTTAAACTATTATACAAAACACAAAAGAAAAAATCCAAAAAAATAAAAACAAAACAAAAAAACAAACAAAAACAAGGTTAAAGCCAACTTATAAAAAAACCAACATTCTATACAAGAAATGATGTAAACATGAACAAAATCTTAAAATGTTTGGAATTAAAAATCGCTTACAGAAACCACGGGGTGCACAATTTCACAAAAACACATTTATTATACAGCTAATTAGTTTATTTTTCCTCTCAAATATTTACACAGTGGGAAACCGAATATTTCTTCTTTAAAATTTTTAAATCATTGAACACTGTTTTGCGTTAACTGCCTTAATTTCCCGGTTCAGGGGCAAATTGGATAGAAGGACAGAAGGATAGGATAATACAGATAACTGCCACAGTTGTCTGCTGAAAATTTCATCGTGTACACTACAAGACGCTACCTGTCTTGATCATCCTTTCAGGATCATTACTAGTCCTACTTCCATCTTGCACTTTTCAGCCAATTGAAGAACAATTTATTGAATGGTGCGACTATAGATGGCATATTGTCAGTGCTCATTGACACTATTATATACATGTAGTTTCATTTTGGAAAATGGTAAGACCGTACCTCGAGTGCATTTGATTTTTCTATCCGTGTTTGGTACACAGCACCACACATTGCACCGGGCACCATACCTCGTCTATTTATATAAAGAAGATATGTATTTATTTTATTATTCTAAAGCTAACCTCTCCCCTCGTTATCTCACCGTACTTTTTAGATTAACTCCATTTTACAACATAAAACACTTTATTTTTACATCCCAAAACATTCGAAACTTGCATAATCACTCACTGTTCAAAATAGTCTCGAACAACTCCAGATACAAAACCAAGATTTTTCACGCTTACATGACACTTTATATTCATATCATAAAACATTCGAAGCTAACAAATCGCTTGAGATTCAGAAGCAGTCTCGAAATATGACCCACAGGCGTCTGATTAAAAATGGCAATAATCCAAATCGGTGCTATCAGTCTCCGCGATGCACATACGCTAATAAATTTGATGGTGAGTAATTTTGCAGGGTCATTTAATTTAATCGGAGAATAAAACCTGCACGATCTTGACGGTGTTGGAGTTAATCTTCAAACTGCAAATCAACTAAAGGACAGGAATGTAAACCAAAGTTGAATAAAAGAAGACGTAACCATCAGATAATAGAGTCAAGATGAGTGAAAAATATCTTTATCTCAAAAATCAACAATAATAAATATTAGTTTTTCTTATCTAAACTTCAAGTTTCAGATCCTATTACCGACATTTCTTACTTCAAATCCAGGTTTTTTAGTTGGTTGTAACAGTCGGTGTTTCATTTTAAAGGAAGGGCTTGGGCCATACTCTTTCTGAAGAAACTCCACCGTGATAGTGATAGTGATAGTGAAATCATACACTGTTCAAAATCAAAAAAATAAGAACCCCAAGATATCAGACGAAAAATTGGAATGTTGTAAAAAGAAAACATGACCCCAAGTTATAACGCCTCTTTTTACCCACTACAACCCCCTTTATAATTTAATGATTTAATTCCGCATATTTAAATCATATCAAAGTAATATTTAAAAGCTTTTGATATCTTAAAATGCATCATCAATGTCTGTTTTATAGCTTTTCAATATAATACATAAACATTTTATAAAAGCTTATACAATAAACATCTTATAATATAAAATAAACATATTAAATGGAAATAAAACAGATATGATTACAAACCTGATATTGGCTTCTCCATTTCTTAAAATAAACTTGGATCAGATTCAGAAATTCACCTTCGGATATTCTGTCCCTCGTCAATGTTATGACCGACATAAAGGCCAGGAATCATTTTCTGTCATTGGGGCATAACTCGGCCGTCATCAAGGTAGGCTACCGGACATCAATTCCTTTAAAATTACTCAGCACTCATCAGCGATATAAACAGGGTCCAGGACGGACATCATTTCCTTTGACATTACTCGGCTGTCATCATTGATATTAACAGGGTGACATCATTTCCTTTGACATTACTCGGTCGTCATCAGTGATATAAACATGGTACTGGACATCATTTCTTTTGACATTACTCGGCTGTCATCGGTGATATAAACAGGCTACCGGGCATCATGTCCTTTGACATAACTCGGCTGTCATCAGTGATATAAACAGGGTACTGGACATCATTTCCTTTGACATAACTCGGCTGTCATCAGTGATATAAACAGAGTACTGGACATCATGTCCTTTGACATTACTGGTCGGCATCAGTGATATAAACAGGCTACCGGGCATCATGTCCTTTGACATTACTCGGCTGTCATCAGTGATATAAACAGGGTACTGGACATCATTTCCTTTGACATTACTCGGTCGGCATCAGTGATATAAACAGGGTACTGGATATCATTTCCTTTGACATTACTCGGTCGTCATCAGTGATATAAACAGCGTACCGGGCATCATTTCCTTTGACATTACTCGGCTGTCATCAGTGATATAAACTGGGTACTGGGCGTCAATTCCTTTGACATTACTCGGCTGTCATCGGTGATATAAACTGGGTACTGGGCATCATTTCCTTTGACATTACTCAGCTGTCATCAGTTATATAAACAGGGTACCGGAAATCATTTCCTTTGACATAACTCGGCTGTCATCAGTGATATAAACAGAGTACTGGACATCATTTCCTTTGACATAACTCGGCTGTCATCAGTGATATAAACAGAGTACTGGACATCATTTCCTTTGACATAACTCGGCTGTCATCAGTGATATAAACATAGTACTGGACATCATTTCCTTTGACATAACTCGGCTGTCATCAGTGATATAAACAGGGTACCAGGCATCATGTCCTTTGACATAACTCGACTGTCATCAGTGATATAAACAGGGTACCGGGCATCATTTCCTTTGACATTATTGGCTGTCATCAGTGGTATAAACAGGGTACCGGGCATCATTTCCTTTGACATTACTCGGCTGTCATCAGTGGTATAAACTGGGTACCGGATTTCATTTCCTTTGACATTACTCGGCTGTTATCAGTGATATAAACAGAGTACTGGACATCATTTCCTTTGACATTACTCGGCTGTCATCAGTGGTATAAACAGGGTACCGGGCATCATTTCCTTTGACATTACTCGGCTGTCATCAGTGGTATAAACTGGGTACCGGATTTCATTTCCTTTGACATTACTCGGTCGTCATCAGTGATATAATCAGCGTACCGGGCATCATTTCCTTTGACATTACTCGGCTGTCATCAGTGATATAAACTGGGTACTGGGCGTCAATTCCTTTGACATTACTCGGCTGTCATCAGTGATATAAACTGGGTACTGGGCATCATTTCCTTTGACATTACTCGGCTGTCATCAGTTATATAAACAGGGTACCGGAAATCATTTCCTTTGACATAACTCGGCTGTCATCAGTAATATAAACAGAGTACTGGACATCATTTCCTTTGACATAACTCGGCTGTCATCAGTGATATAAACAGAGTACTGGACATCATTTCCTTTGACATTACTCGGCTGTCATCAGTGATATAGACAGGGTACCAGACATCATTTCCTTTGACATTACTCGACCGTCATCAGTAATATAAACATGGTACCAGACATCATTTCCTTTGACATTACTCGGTCGTCATCAGTAATATAATAATATATATTTTAGTCTACATTGTAGTAGTAGTAATACTAGTTTAATACCAAAGGCCTATTTTGACCTATAGTAATGTCTTAAAATGAAGATGGCAGAGTCATCAGTTCATGGATGACAAGTCGAGTCAACCGCAGAAAAAACACAATACCAAACATCCAGATTTGCATTTGGTGAATCGGATTGGAATATTTCTGATCACACAAAAGCATGGTAAGGTAAGGAATCACAATTAGATTCAATCCATCACAATTTTAATCATAATTTTATAACAATTACATATAATGATAACAAATCAAAATAACATTTAATATTGCTTCTAATTCAGCCAATCCAGGAGATACTTTTCCTTTATGTGTATCGGGGACACCATTTAATTATTACAGAATTATTGAGGTTTATAGAATAACTGAGGTTTATAGAATAATTGAGGTTTGTAGAATTATTGCGGTTTTTATGTAGCTTTATAGAGGTTTATAGAATTATAGAGGTTTATAGAATTATAGAGGTTTATAGAATTATTGAGGTTTATAGAATTATTGAGATTTATAGAATAACTGAGGTTTATAGAATTATGGAGGTTTATAGAATAATTGAGGTTTATAGAATTATTGAGGTTTATAGAATTATTGAGGAATTATTGAGGTTTATAGAATTATAGAGGTTTATAGAATTATTGAGGTTTATAGAATTATTGAGGTTTATAGAATTATTGAGGCTTATAGCCCATCAACATAAAAACTGGAAACTCAATTTTCATTTTTCTCTCTGTACCATCTACAGTGTACAATTCTTTAAACCTGAAAAAAAGTAACAAAAGATTTGTTAAAATGATTAAAAATTTTACACATTAGGTGTTCCTGAAGAATGAGGCATAATAATAATTTATTGCCCATGTCTGTCAGGTGCGCCAATCTTTTCACACTTAAGCCTCAAAAACGGATTTTTTTTTAGCTAAGCCAAATAGTATCAGCGTTCACAGCTCACCATCAAAATTTGAGCCTTCAAATCGATGTGTGGTCAGAATTATTATTATAAAAAAGTCGCTTAATAGCATCTTGAATTTAAAAAGGCTTCACGCTCAAGAAAAAACAGCACGAGACTGGGAAACAATTCCTTAGCATTGTCCATGTAAACAATGCTTCTAACAATGGCATTGACAAGATGGAAACAAAGACAATACGTGCCATGACGGTGCTAATAGCCAGTGCATAATTCGTTTGAATTGAAAAAAAATTTCTACTCTACCTGAGTAATAATTTTTGAAGCTCATCTGACTCTGGGTTATGTTTTAAATATTTAGTCCAACCTGACCGGGAAGATACGTAACCTACATATTCCTCTACAGTCCATTCTACTCTAATCTTTAAATCATCTTTTCTACAAACAAACACAAATATTTTATAGATCTGTATAGTAACACCAATTAAATAATATGCCAACATTGAAATGCATTGTCAGATGAATAGGGGACAAAAATACTTTTTGTGTCATTACCCTAAAAAATATTGGCCTATAACTGTAGTTGCTTTGGAACAGTTTGACTTTGTTAGGCCCCCTTTATTATTATTTATCCTCTTTGTTTCAAAACAATTTATATGTTAGTTTAAAATAATTATACTCAAATGTATTGGCACATCCAACAAAAAAATGAGTGGCTTTGAAGTTCTTAAAAATTAGTGCATTTGTAATTTAGTTATTTAATGTTCTACAGCTGTCAGTGGGCAGTGGGTTGTGTAAACTGAAACATCTTTCTCTATTCCAGCCTCTGATAGCTATTTGGACAGATGTCAGCTGTGTTAATTGGAGACTTTGTGCATCTCTGCAGATGCAGGGTTTTTAAACCTATTTAGATACCACCGATCTGCAAACCATATATATTTGGAAAGATGAATATTTTTTTGCAGTTCTGTCATACCATCACTTTCTCCCTACACAATTTATGTCACATCTCACATTGGCCATTTAATACTGCATGCGCACTGCGCAATCAAAAGTTCAAATATCACAGACTGACGAGATACAAACAAAACGAAAATTACGTCGATGCCCAAACACTTATTTACAGTCATCGTAAAGGTAATTTTATGACATGTCAGCAGAAATGCATCTTCGGAGGTGTAGAAAATCCCCATTTAACAGCCCAGGGACTTCTTTTTCTGACTACTCCAGCTGACATCTTACTGTCAAAATATCCATCAGATGTTTCGGACTGCTGGTCATGTTACATTGCCTGGCAAGTTAACAAACTAAATTCAAGTCCAATACACAATGAGCCTACCTGTACCAGCCAGGAAATGGTAATGTTAATGAACTATAATGTTCTTCTTCTACAAGTTTTACCTTTTCATTCCAGAAATCACCAAGTGTTTCACTGTAAAACTAAAATAAAAAAGAATGATAATTATCAACATCAGAAGAAGGCTAATATTGGTATACAAAAATCAATTTTAACTGTCAACAGTTGTTTCCTTATTATATTATTGTTATCTTATCTATAATCTGATATCCTTATAAACTGGTCCGCAATTCCATCTAAACTTAGAACCGAAGTTAGTTTAGTACACACATCAAGGGTCCAGTGAGTACTAAACATCTGCCTTTATTCCAGCCTCTAATGGATATTTTGATGTGTAGAGTCAGAAGAAAAACACTGTTAAATGGGGATTTCCTACACCAACAAAGATGCGTTTACTCTAACACAATATTGAATTACCTTTAAGGTGATTGTAAATTAGTGTTGGGCATCACTGTAACTTTTGTTTTGTTAGAATTACTTTTAAATGTCCGATGCTAGATCAGTTTTGCCCAAAAAAAATTTGATTGAACCGGAGACATGACATAAGTGGTGTAAGGAGAAAATAATGGTATGATTGAACTACAAAAATATTCATCTCTCCAAATATCCATGGGTTTTGCAGATCCAAGGTATCTAAATTGGTTTAAAAACCCCGCACCTGTATAGATGCAGAATGTCCCCATTTAACAGGGCTTATTAATTCTGTCCACATAGCTATCAGAGGATGGAATAGAGACAGATGTTTAGGTCTACTATTTTTACTGGACACTTTGCATGGCAGAATTTCCAGATGAGATAGGCTTAATTCTTTATATTGTTTACTGTACCCGACTGATTTTTTCTTTAATTGTTTTATTTTCCATAATTTCTGACCCATAAGCATAGACAACCAATCCTCCACCAGGTTTTAACACACGATTCACTTCAGAATAAAACCTTTCTGTATCAAACCAATGTACAGCCTGGGCTATGGTCACTAAATCAGTCGAACTGTTTGACAAGAAAGACAAATCTTCTGCAGGTCCAACATGGTATTCAAGATTTTTGATCTTTCTAGGAGCATTCTCAATTTGTTTAGCACTGATGTCAGAGCCAAGGACTCTTTTAAAAAACTTTGTCAGAGGGACTGTACTTTGACCCGACCCACACCCAACATCGACAGCTTGTTCAAATTCACATTTACCTTTCTTACAGAAATTCAAAATGGCGTCAAACACATCTTGGTCGTATTTAGGCCTAAATTTTGCATACAGTTCTGCATGTTTGGCTGCTTCGAATAAACGAATAGACATGTCACAATGAATATTTAATTAAGCTTGAAAATGATTGTTTTGATTTATTCTAAAATTTAACAAGAGTTATCTTCCCAAAGACTTTTTCTGGTTTCTAAAATAGAAAACTTCAATTCAACGGAATTAATAAACTCATACTTCAGACTACATTTAACTTGCAGTATAATTTATTTAACAACATAAAACAACTAAATGATACAAAATAAATATCATCAATGAGATGTAAATTGATTGGTTAATTAAAATAAAATCATGAGGTAGACATGTTGATTCATTAACATTATTCTAATCTTTCACTATTCAGCCCAATTAGGTGCAGAAGTGTAGGACGAAAAACTCTATTCGTTAGTTCATTCTGATTTAAATACAGGTACCGTATTATTTCAGTTTTTATTTCTAAATTATTGGGCCAGTTTCATAAAAACTACCACTTTTAAAAGATAACAGATAACAAAACTACATTCTAAAACAATCAATTGACTGAAACATCAAAATCTTTCTTTAGTTTTCATGAAACTGGCCCAAGGGCTGTTAACTAATTTCTATTCGATTAGCAAGACAGGCTTGTCTGGGTAATACCTCAGCCTTGATATAGTTTTTGTTGATGCCCCACCCTTCGAATTACTGAGGCTTATAGCCCATCAACATAAAAACTGGAAACTCAATTTTCATTTTTCTCTCTGTACCATCTACAGTGTACAATTCTTTAAACCTGAAAAAAAGGTCATTAACTTCAATGAAAGATAGTTTGCCAGGCAAGGTAACATACGCCCACTGGCAGCTGTCAGAAATGATAAAAAAGTATTTAGTGACTAAAGTATGATTTGTCTCATGTCAAAGAAATTTTAATAGTTTGAATTCAATGATATATATCATATTTACTGCCAGTTATTTATGCTGAGAAATTCCACCAAGTTTTTAAAAATCAATATCAATAACCCGAATACATCAAATTATCTCATCAATATACAAGATCAAACCAAATTTCATTAAAATCAGTTGAAAACTGTAGTCTCTATTGTATTCACAAACAAATTTTGACGTGTGTTTCTGAAGTCAAGGACAATAACTCAAAAACCATTCATCGAAAAATCATCAAATTTGAACTTGACCAAGATTTCATCAATATAAATGACGACACCAAATTTCATTAATATCAGTTAAAAACTGTAGTCTCTATAGTGTTCACAAACAAATTTTGACATGTTTTTCCTTCATCAAGGGCAATAACTCAAAAACGGTTCATCAAATCCTAACTTGTCCAAAATCTCATCAATATAAATGATCACACCAAATTTCATTAAAATCAGTTAAAAACTGTAGTCTCTATTGTGTTCACAAACAAATTTTGACACGTTTTTTCTAATTCAAATGCAATAACTCAAAAACTATTCATCGAAAGATCGTCAAATTCGAACTTGACCAAGATCTCATAAATATAAATGGTCACACCAAATTTCATTAAAATCAGTTGAAAACTGTAGTATCTATTGTGTTGACAAACAAATTTTGACGCGTTTTTCCTAAGTCAAGGGCAATAACTCAAAAACCGTTCATCGAAAGATCGTCACATTCGAACTTGACCAAGATCTCATCAATATAAATGATCACACTAAATTTCATTAAAATCAGTTGAAAACTGTAGTCTCTATTGTGTTCACAAGAAATGTTGACAGACCGACGGACAAGGGCGACAGCAATATATGTCCACATTTCCATGTGGGCGTATAAAAATAGTTTTTTGGAGAATTAAAGATGACTAAGCTGAATGTGTAAATAAATAAAACTTAATCACAACTGGATGTAAGACAGAAATACCAATATAGATTGACAGAAAGATATACTAATGTTAGGGATTGAATCAGGTGGCCCAGAAGAGTGAGCATGCCATTCTCTAGTGACATGTCCCACCTCCATTTTATAGTGAAGCTCAAATTCAATAATATTTTGGATTAAGACGATAATAGATAAGACAAGATTAAGCTTATGGGGCCTACCTGAGTATTAATTTTTGAAGTTCGTCTGAGTCTGGGTTATGTTTTAAGTATTTAGTAAAACCTGACCAGGAAGATACATAACCTAAATATTCCTCTACAGTCCATTCTACTCTAATCTTTAAATCATCTTTTCTACAAACACAACCACATTATATCTTTATAGTATAATACATTATTAATAGAATGGTCGAATACATTGACCATCACAAAAAATATTAGAAAATTATATTTTAAACCTGTTATAATGTCTTGCAACTGTCAGTTGTCTTCAATGTCAAGTTATTACTAACTTTGTCATATTGACATGTCTACTACTGGTAGCCTACCTTTACATTAGGCACTTTTATTGTATTACAAAAGTTTGTAAATGCAAGCAAATACTGCCAATCAGACCCTCTATTCAAAATATGCATTAATATTGTTAACAGTCTTTCTGCCCAGAGCTCTCATTGGGTGTATTCCCTAACCTACAATAACATAATTATTTCAAAGTATTTGATAGAGTTTGTAATAAATTGACATTGTGAAGACACTATGAAGGCATGGGCTGCATTGTCCAGCAACTATCAAATTACATAACGTCTATCCTTCCAAAAGTTGTAAAAACAGTTCAGCCACCCACCTGTACCAGCCAGGAAATGGTAAAGAAAATGAACTGTAATGTTGTTCTACAAATTTTCTCTTCTCATCCCAATATTTTTCACCAATTGTTTCACTGTAAAACTGAAATAAAAATTCATAGCTTCAATCAACCCTAGAAGTAGACTTGGCCGGCCATTCATGAAATCTTTACAATTTGTTACTAATTTTTAACTATTATTATTGGATATTGATCTTTATATGATATGCTCGCTTGGTTTCCAAATACATACAAACCAATCCAAATAATTCTGAAATTTTTTGGAAGTTATAGCTTTGATGAATCAAAATTTACCTGATGGATTTCATTATTTGCTGTTTTATTGTCCAGGACATTTAACCCGTAACCATAGACAACCAATCCGCCACCAGGTTTTAACACACGAGTCACTTCAGAATAAAACCTTTCTGTATCAACCCAATGTATAGCTTGGGCTATCGTAACTAAATCAGTCGAACTGTTTGACAAGAAAGACAAATCTTCTGCAGGTCCAACATGGTATTCAAGATTTTTAATCTCTCTAGGAGCATTCTCAATTTGTTTAGCACTGATGTCAGAGCCAATGACTCTTTTAAAAACCTTTGAAAGAGGGACTGTACTTTGACCCGACCCACACCCAACATCGACAGCTTGTTCAAAATCACATTTACCTTTCTTACAAAAATTCAAAATGGCGTCAAACACATCTTGGCCGTATTTAGGCCTAAATTTTGCATACAGTTCTGCATGTTTAGCTGCTTCGAATAAACGAATAGACATGTCACAATGAATATTTAATTAAGCTTGAAAATGTTTAGTTTTTTTTCTAAAATCTAACGAGAGTTATCTTCCCATAGACACTTTCTGGTTTCTAAAATAGAAAACTTTTATTGAAAATAATTAATAAACTCATACTTCAGACTACAGTTAACTTGATGTATAATTTATTTAACAACATAATATAACAAAATAAATACAATATCATCAATTACTAAATGCAACTCAAGGAAGTTAATATGTAAGGAACCCTTTTTTCTAGCCTCATCCACAAGAAGAGACTTGAATATTCATACGTACAAATTCAAATTTTTCAACAATAAATGCTTTGTACAAATTCAAATTTTTCAACAATAAATGTTTTGTGTAGTTAAAATAATAAAACTGTATTATAACAATGCATAGCACAGAGCTCTTTCAAAATAAAATATAAATATTATACTGTATATATTATTATAATAATCACTTTATTAGGGTAAGAAATTGGGCTAAAAAGCCTTTCTATTATTGTCTTTATCACAAATATATCATATTTATCAAGTTCTGGAAATATTTAGAGTTTCAAGCAGAAATATAATTAGATATAATAGAACAAGGATATTTCTGCACAAGCTAGGTACAATTCAAACATAAAAGATGAACATAAATATATTTCCTCTATATCATTGAACAGAATAAGTCTAGCATGTATAGTTTCTATAAAGCCAACATTGAAATGTAAAATCATATTATTCTTTGATGGATACAAATAACTTTGATTTATCATAGAGCTCTGGGCAGATATAACTGGTAAATACAGCCATATCTATGTATATTTATGAATAATTAATAAATACCTGTCTTATTAGATAATCTCAGAGTTATAAATGGTAGTATATTGTACAATAGTACTCTAATTTTACCTGATGCCACTTGCCCGCAAGGTTTATATAATTCAGCACCTCTTTAAGAGAATCAACATGGTTATTTCTTTTATCAATTTAGATCTATAAAAGCTTATATATAATGTACATTTGGTATTATCATTATTATTCCCCAATTTTGCCATGAATGCAGTAAATCATGTCATGATTCCAACACTCTGATTCGACTGAGCTACAGTCTGTTCTCACAACTACACTAAAAAGTAAACTTAATCATCCCCATGCAAGCCTTATTTTACTTTCGTTTTCAAGTTGTCTATTCATTCCTTTGCATGGCCTGAAAACGGTAAGGGCAACTTGAATTGAGTCTCGATTAAGGCAATATTTTTAACATGAAGACAATTTGATAACTGAATCGCCTGCAGACATGAACCTTAATATTAAATATTTACCAGAACAGTTAAGGTTTGACACGTTCTTCCATCCTACTATGAAAACCTCAGCTGAAAATGAAACCAAAATAAGGAAACACAAGTGTACTGGCTTCCTATAAACTGTTTTCATACACCAGAATCTTTTCTCTGAATCAGACACACTCAAATTTATCACAGTTCAAAGGATATTTGACTCACTATCCAAATATATCTGACAAGTCTGTATTGTTACTAGCATTATTTGGTTTATTAGTGGTCTGATTTTGTGGCATCATAAAGTTACCTCCCATCGTTTGTTGTGATGTCATCATGTTGTTAGGCTGACCAAAAGTCATTTGATTTCCACCCATCATTGCTGATTGGTTGAATTGTTGTTGCTGACCGTATGTTTGGTTGAATCCTGGTTGATATCCCATCATTCCTTGATTACCCATCATTCCCATTCTTGGCATACCCATCATGCCCATTCCTGTGTTTTGCGTAAAAGATTGAGCACTTTGGGAGGCTTTCATTTCATTTAAAGATTTCTTAGAAGTATTTTTATTCGGTAATAGATCATCAAATGCAGATAAATCAACAGATTTTGATGCTGTTGGTTTTGGTCCGTTCATTGAATTGGTCCCACTGGAAGTCATGTAAGAGTTACCTCCCATCATAGTGTTATTGCCCATGTATGGACTAGAGTTACTTCCCATGAAAGAATTGTTTCCAGGACTCCCCACACTATACGAACTAGGTGAATTCATTTTCTGTAAATTAGAGTTTATAAGAGAGGAAGTAAGGTCACGTGTTTGACTAGATGGCGCTGTTTTTGGCGCGTTTGGTCTTGACGAACCTGACGGGTTCAAAGGTTGTTGAGATTTAAATTTTAAATGGTCGTCCTGGGATTTTGCTAATCTCTGTTTTTCTTCTAAAGATAAAGTTACCTGAAAAAATGACTTCATATGAGAAATATACATCGAATGATTAATGTTCTGGTTTTATCACCAAATCTAAGTAACCATTCTCCAGACCCCAGTTAGCCAACATTCAATACAATTTAGGAATTGCTTCTGAAAATTGTGTTTGAATCCACTGCTGATAAAAAATTGATTCAAATTTCTGTTTACTATCTAAAGTGGAGCTGACAAATTAGTTCTAGTGGTTTCAGAGATATATTTTTAGAAATTCGCACAAATCATGAGCTTTCATATTAATCCTGTTCATTTAATAACGTACCTTTTGTGGTGTGACAGCAGATGGCGCTGTAGAAACACTACGGACTGGTTGAGGGGAACTTCCTGTAGTTCCATTGACGCTAGTTGCTTGTTTTGTTGTCTGACCAGAGAGTAAGCTACTCATTCCAAACCCACTTAAAAACTGATCCATCTAAAAAAAAAAAAACAGAAAGTTTTTCCGGTTTTTCTTTAAGTTATCCATAGCATTTTTCTGTTAGATTTTTGCTTCATAAACAATATTGTTTGTCCTCTCCAAATCCTGGCAATTGTTGTTCAAAATTCCTTATGGGCTGATATATTCCACAGCTTTGTGTTCACTTACTTCATTCAAACATTCCTTGGCAAGTTGATTATTATTTCCAAAACTAGTCGTACTGATGAAGATATTTTTCAAATTCAGAAACGCATTTTGGTAGCATAATTAAGATCTTCTTGCCCATTACTATTAGACAGCCCCCTACCCCAATAGTTTAAGACAGTCTCCTTAAAAAAACACAGAATGAATAGATTTTTACCCCTCTTACTTACCATAGTTTTAGGTCTTCCCGAATCACCAACAGAAACTAGATTTTTCTCATTCTCTATGGTGGTTGATATCTTGTTGATTTCAAGTGATCTATAAAACATTATGAAATACCAGTAATTTACGATAATGGTGAACAGTCATTTGGTTTGTTTCAATTTTACAAAAGACTGGATTAATTGAAGGGAAATCTAATCTCCAAGACTGGTTAATAGTGTCTAACTCAGTAGACGTGCTGTACTAGACTTTTTTGCGGTAATCTTGTTAGCCATTCCCCCAGGCTTGCATCCATAAGACAAACTAAGTGATGGTGTGATCTAAAATATAAAATCATTTCTTACTTCTGTTCTTGTTTCATCTGATCTAGTTGTTCTAACTTTGTTCTTTGTTCTGTTTCTATTTTTTGTAACATTTCTTTCACTAGAGCCATGTAGGCATTGAACTGGAAAAAAAGAAATATGTGCTTTGGAATTTAAGGTTGTAATATTGCGGTTAAGCAATGTTACGAAAGCACAGGCACAGCTTTGGGTTAGAATTCCTCTTTGATTTCTGAGGTAATGACAAGGGCTTAAGGAAAAATCCATAAAACAAAAAAATAAAATTGGTCTGGCCTTAATATAATAATAACCTATTACAGAGTCTTCACCACATCAATGAGGAACACAGACAAATGCTTGTTTACACCAACTGTCTACATAACTAAAATTACTATATCATAGTTTTTTTTCAAACAATTACCCCTTCTACCTTGTTGTTTATTGTTTAACCCCATGATCCTACCTGTTGTAAGTTTAGATTATTATCCATGGAAACTGGTATTAAATAGGGTAGTATTTTGTTGGACATTACATCTTTAGTCAATCCTAGTTTATCATGGCTAAATGCTACTGTATATATACCTAGAATATAAACACAACTAAACGATGTGACGTCTGATCAGTAAGGACACAGGCTGAAATAGGTCAGGTGTCTGAAGATTGCACAGCATGCATCTCCAAGTAACGACATGTTTCAGATTCTGTTTTAAATGTGGTTTATAACACAACCAAATTACAAGCTCAAAACTTTTTGTTTAAAAGGTGAATGAACATTATGCCAGAATAGAACTCTGAACCATTTGGTGAAATTTCTACATTTTAAGTTTTAAGGGATGAAAGTGTACGGTAAATTACCAACCTAATATTCCCATCAAAACCGCTGGTTCTCGTGTAGGAATTGTGGGTAATAAAGGCAGAATATCGTCAATAACGAACCATTTATCCATATGTTCTAACATTTGTCCTAAACACAGTAAACAGTTCACTCTTACCTATAATAAAATATAGTCATAATAAGTCATCAATTGTCGGTAATAAAAGTTGAAATGTTTTTTAAGGTGTACATTCTGCAGCACAAAATCTTGGTTTATTGTCCCATCTATTTCAGGTTCAAGACCTATTTGTCTGTTAGTAATAAAAGTTAACAGATCTTTAACGTGTACAGTCTGTAGCACATAAAGTTTTCATTTAATGTCCAATCTATTTCAGGTTCCATCTGTCGAACATAAAGAGTCTTTGTTAGTTGTCTCCTTGAAATGACCAGGAACTTTTGTCCATGTCTAACATGCATCATATATTGAGTTAAGAAATGTTTCTCAATAAGCTGTTGTTTTCCCAGCTGCCTTGACCAAGGGTTAACATCTTCAGTACTATAATTCATAAAGTGTACTTACAGCTAAAACAGAAGTTTTTAAAGTTAATTTCTTAATTCTAGGTATCACTGAATTTTTTAAAGATGTATATTCTATCAACTCTGCAAATGTTGGAATTATATTCAAACACAATTCCTAAAAAAGTCATTTATATAATTGTAATGTAGAATTTTGGGCTCTGGAAATATTGTAGCGCAGTTGATCAGAGCATTGAAATCTGAGCAGTGGTTGTTGGTTCTAACCTTGGTCAATTATTGACCTTGAGTCTGTTGACCTTAAAAAATGATATTCCTTTATTACCTCAGTCGGTAGTTGTGATAATTTAAAAAATCTTTGCCAAATTGTTTTGCCATTGACCAGTTAGCAGGAGATGTTATCTTTATCAAAATGAATTTTAGTTGGAGAGATCAAAGCCATTATTGTCTTAAAGTATTTTTTATTTCTTTTTCACACAGTATAATAATATTTACCTGTATCTGTGAGTTATCAGATTCTAGGGCCTGGTTAATCATGGGTAAAACATGGGTTTTTATGTCATTCTGGGGTGTTTTACTCAATAACAAATTCATATTCTGTAGAAATATCAGGCACACCTACAAAATTGATAAAATGTTAATTTGTATTCACAAGAACCATTCCAAATTATTAATTTTCAGGGGAAAAGCCAAGTTATCTCAAATTATTTTAAGAAAATCAACTGCTTATCCTCTTCTTCATCAGATAAGGAGGGAGAGACATTTTAGTCTTTAATGGTAAGCATTGGATAACAGATAAAAGATAAGGAGAAATTGGTAAAATATATAGGCCAAGAGAGAGTACCCTTAACAATTTGAAATCAAGAAGTCTACCAAAATAACACATTGATATTATTCTCACCTGCATGGGGTCTTTAATAGTAAACATAGGAATAAGTTGAGGTAAAATCAATCGTACATAATCTTTATCAGACGACTGTTCAGCCACCAGTAAAATGGTGGGTAATACGAAGGGAATCATATTGTTATTGTTACATTCTGTATATAATGCTGGTAGAATACGCTGCTGATTCACTCGCTGTAAATATACAATCAACCAATCAGATCAATATGCATACAACCAATCAGATCAAAGCAAAATATATAAACAGCCAATGAAAACAAAATATATATGCAACCAATCAGATCAAAGCAAAATATATGAACAGCCAATAAAATCAAAGCAAAATATATAGACAGCCTCTCATCAAAGCAAAATATTCAAACAGCCAATCAAATCAAAGCAAAATATAGTAACAGCAAATCAAAGCAAAATATATACACAACCAATGAAAACAAAATATGTATACAACCAATCAGATCAATGCAAAATATATAAGCAACCAATGAAAACAAAATATGTATGCAACCAATCAGATCAAAGCAAAATATATGAACAGCCAATAAAATCAAAGCAAAATATATAAACAACCAATCAATTCATAGCAAAATATAGTTACAGCCAATCAAAGCAAAATTTATACACAACCAATCAGTTCCAGGCAAATCATGTAAACAGCCAATCAGATCTCAGAATGCATAATAACAGAAGCATATTGTGTCACGATAATATATATTAACGCATCAGCCTTTTAGCCATAGCATCATCAGCCAGAATTTGTAGCATAACTTTCATTCACTTTATTTTGCCTCAGGTTCTAACAAGTGAATTTGAGTTGATTTGATACTTACCACAGGAAATTTGGCAATAATTTTTGGTAATCCTTTAAAAAACTGTGATTTTTCTAAATTCTCCCTTTGAAATAATGTGTCTAAATATTGCAGGGTCATGGAACCAACATCTCCAAAAAATGATACCTGAAATTTAAAAGTATTCTCATAATTACATGAAGTATACTTTATCAGATTCAGCAACTAATGATTCATCCAAAATGCTACTGAGCAGTCTCCGACGTGGGCGTTTAACACTAAACAAAATATGTTTTAATCTATTTCATTACACTTGTGCTGTCTCTGAAGCAAGTGACATATTGATAAAATCATATGAGTTCAGTATTCAACTTGGTAGTTCAGGGTATATGATGTAATATTTTCTGATATTCTGTGTTTAAAGGTATGCTTTTACTCACCTTAGTAATTTGTTCAGGAGCAGGTCTAACTGATGGTTCAATATTTAACATCAATTTAACATAATCTCGTAGTTCGTCTGGTACACGTCCTAATAGAGTACTTCTTAGGTGACGTAACTATCAAAATATAAAGTATACTATTATGAGACCCATTTAGACTTTACAAACAAAATCATTACTATAACTATCATTTCATCTGATGACAACACGTGTAAATTGTGTTGAAACATTATGTACAAAGTTGTTACTTTGAAAGTAGAGTGTTATGCCATAATATACTCCCTTGTGCATTTTGTTTATAAAGTTATTACTACTTTGTACATTAAATTTAGGGGATGTTACCGTTTTGGAGAAATTATTTTGAGAATCTAAGCAGCATCAAAACTATTATAAATTATAATAATTCTATAATTACCTCTTCCGCATTTTTCTGGAATGTTGATAATTGACCTTGACATTCAAACAGGGGTTTTCCATTGTTAAAAATAGAATAGATGAGAACACCCAGTGAATACATGTCACTAGCAGGACTGCATGTCATAGTTAATGTATATTCTGGTGCTAAGAAGTCCAGATTAGATTGGGCCACTGGCGGACTGTTATTATCCCATTCTATAAACTCATACATCGGCTAAAAAGAGAAATAGTCTTGATGAACCATTATTCAGGTAGTGTAATATAGTCAAGCCAAAATATCTGTGCAGACTGATTAAAAACACAGACAGCCGACTTCATTTTGAGGTAAAATAAATAGTAATTGAAGCCATCATAAACCATATAGTTTGTTCAATGAAATTTAAACTATCATTAATCTCAGATGTTCACTTGCTCAACTATACAAATACATACTTTATCTATAATATGTGTATTGTACATCATGCATATAGACTAGATCAAAAAGCACAGAGTAATAACAAGTTTAACGTTCTGTTCAATATACTAATTTTATGTATAATACATGAATCTGAATCAGAAATTGTTCAGAATTTTGCAAGCAACTAATATTTCAAAGATTATATGCCATTTATATCTGCCTGAAATAAGATAGGACATAAATAATTAGCTAGACTCTTTTAAAGAACAAAAAAATACCAGCTTTCATCATCAAAAAAAAAAACAGAAGAGAAAAAAGCAAAACACAAGCCAAATGAAAAGTGGAAAAATTCTGAATTATTTAAATTTTCCATTTTATCAATCAATTTCAAACAATACCAAAAAACCCTTTATTCCAAATAACCAAATATAAAAAAACAAAACACAAGAAAGCATCTCCACCGAAATAAAATCTACCTTAGCTCTATCTGCTACATATTGCTACAAAACAAGTAGAGAACTGACTTATTAACTCTAATTTCTAAAGGATAAGTTTAAAGAGACCAGTTTACACTGTTGTATGGTGTTATTGACCTTCTCACATACAGATTTTACTCATATTATAACTTCATTAGTAATAAGTTCCCATGAGAATATCAGTAACGCCCAGAAAGTTAGATGCACTATGGTTTCAGGAAATTTATGTTAGAGGTTTCTCTATATGCTATGTAATTTTTTTTTTTTATGGAAATCAGCATAGGTAGGCCTACTATAGTTTTAGGGTATTTGTATTTGATGTACTGTCTGTTTAACTGTCTAACTGTAAAAGGTTGTATAAATATTGTATATATAACCTCTGAGAAAACTGCTGACAATTGAATTGATATCACTTGTTATCAACTCACTAGCTATATAATAAATTAATGTATATCAAAAATAAATTACATAGAAAATAATACTCACAGCCTGCTCTGAAGGGTTGGTATTTAACAAACAGAAATCAAACCCTGATAATTTCCAGGAACCATTCTTATTTAACATGATTGATTCTGGACAGATGTTATGGTGCATTATTTTGGCATCGTTATGTAGAAAAGATATTCCTTCAATCACCTGAATGATAAATAACCTGGGGCATTATTCTCGTTAACTAAACTTAGATAAAATCCAGATTTTAACATATACAGAAAGCTTTAGACCTTATTCTTCAGATTTTCAGACCTTATTCTTGGTAAATAAACTTCAGATTTTCAAAAAATACAGTAATTTAATTAGATTATAAAACAGAATTTAAAATAATTGACGAAATTGATCATACAGATTACTGGAACACTACAATCTTCTCAAGTACAAATTTAAAAAATAAGACCCCTGATTAAATACTGAGGAACCATTTTCAAAAACTTATAATGAGGAGGATATTTTAGTAATTTGAATCTATCTTCATGAGCCAATCATATCTTCTAAATAAAATCAGGATTTTGTGTTAATGAGTTTTTATGGAAGATTTTAATAAAAAATATCACAAATCTTTACTTTGTGACCTAGGCTACTTATTCTCGAAAGAATCACTTGCTTACCTGTAAAAGGCCATGTCGTATTTCAACCTCAAATAATTTATATTCTTGTAATTCTTTAGGTACAGGTGTAATATTCTCGTGGTTTCCTAAAACATTGGCTAAACTTGCAAACACAGGTTCTGTTGCAAATGCTAAATACTCCCTGAAAAATAGAATGGATAATCAAGTTAAAGATAGTAAGCTTATTTTTATTTATTTAAACACTCACTCATATATATATATATATATAATTATAACTATTTGGAAAAATACCAGTTTGTCTCATATTTAACTCATTTAGAGGATAATTACCAGTGAACCGATCAGGATAAGGTTTTTTGAGGACAGAAACTGGAAAACTTGTGTAAATATTGTTGTAAATCATTAGAAGTAGCATTCTTAAAAGTAAACTTCTTCCTACCACTGTATGAAGTATTTTGTCCCATTTAGAGATCTTGAATAAAGTTATAATCATAAAGAAAATCCTCTTACCTCGACTCCTCTAAGGGTTGTAAAACTGAGAGTATTTTAGGATGCCGAAGTCTTGTTAACTGGGATACACCACGTCGTAAAGATTCTAGAATTCTCTCCCGATCACGTCGTGAATATCTCTCTAAAACTTTCTTCTCTAAAACAAATATTGATGCTTCCTGCAAAATAATAGAAAATTCATTAAAAGATTACCTTGAAATTTCAACATTGGACAATCATGGAGGAACTTTTACGGTAGGCTGTATAGCAGTTCAAAATGAAAAAAGTGGAAATGTACTGCTTATTAATTTTATACCAATATGCTCTTATGATCCTTGTGTTTTTAATTTTTAAACTATACTTCCAAAAACTAGTAAAATTTGTAGTAAGAGAGGTTATGTACCTCTTCTTGGAACATAGAAATTTATTGAAAATGGAGGGCTTCAAGCATGAAATGCTTGTCTGCATGTAAACTCTGCCCCATACTTTTTATAATTTCATTAATTTTCATTGTCACGCTCGAAAATATGATATATTTTTTTACCAAATCAATTTTTATCTTAAAACTCAAAGCAATGTGCTACCTGTTTTGTTGTTCGTTTTACACCACTATATATCTTCCAGAGTAAACCCGGACCTCCACTACCAATCTGAGAATGGGTATCAAAATCACGCTGGAGCGGGTTGCCAGGTAACGCACTACTTACGGCACTCTTGATTCTATTAAACATGTCCATATTTATTATCTACAAGATTCAACCACTGACTGCTTTATTTCTTTTAATAACTTATCTGAAAAAATGAATAAAATAAAATATACAGGCAGTGTAGATTGTAGATCCATCAATAGTTATGGATTGATCAGTGGTATCTTTCTTACAGTCTTCTATAGAGAAAAGAACTAAAAAAGCAGCATTATTATAATGTTCTTTATAATTCAATGGGGACAAATGTTTGTTGCATGAAATTGAATCAACATTAGTCTTGTAGAATAGTGACAAATGCCATAACACAGTGGTACTGATAAACACAAGGTAAATGACATGCACTTGAAAATTCTAAAAAAAATGTTTGTGAAATGACAGAATTTTTGTTAATTCTGTTTTATTGTAAATATGTTGTATTTAAGAGAGATCAGTACAAAAACTACTGAACCTTAGACTAGTAGAGTTAAAAAGAAATACAAAACGGCGTTTTTCAGTCAACCTAAAGATATTCTTATTTTATGTCATGATTTGACTATTTTGACTGCAGCTGTCATTGTTCATTGCTGTGCTGGCCGCTGACCCAATCTCTATCATCTATGAGTGTTCTAAACGAAGGAGGATCAAATTAACTGCAAAAAAGTTTCAAAAGTGTCACATACTTAGTAAAACAAATTTATGTAATTTCAAGAAATCGGTTATGTGTTGACAACAAAATAATCGATACAATTAATTATTTGACGTCTTCAAATTTTTTCCACGAAGAAAAGTCAGCCATTTTGGATCTACGATTATATATATTTTGGACACGGACTTTTAAAACTACAACATGGCGTAAATATCGACCAAAATTTGAGTTTGTTTTAATCTAAAATTGAAGAATTTGCAAATATTTACTGAAATCGTGTTTGTTCTGCTACTTCAGATATGCTGCTAACTAAACTTTCGTGAAAATGAAACTTAAATTCCAAAACTAAACTTTACATTGAACTTATTTACATTACAAAAGAAGCTCAGACCACAAATAAATAAACGAAATGAAGACGGACAATGCCATGCAGTGTGTAAATAGTGAAATTCGGTTACAAGGACAGCGGCATGAATCTGACTTCACTGATAAAGATATGTGTGCAGTGAAAGAGTAAATACTTTCTAGACATGCAGCTAGTCAAATGCCAGGCCCGTAGCTACGAACCCGCTGAGATTCAACCAGCACCAGTCTTTCTTGCCAGCTATCTTGAGTTGAATCACTCTTCGACACAAGGACAACCAATTTGCACCCCTTTAGGCTACTCAAAGAACACAAACCAAACTTGTGTTAAAAGGAAAACATAGGCTAATTCTAATAAATGATTAAGCATTAACTTCTGATTTATATTAATCTTCAATTATAGGTTTTGATACCAGCTGCCAAAATCCTCTGTTTCAATCCAATCATAAAAAATTGACAACCTTTTTTCAAAACCCGCTGTATGAAGGAACGCAAATTTACTGTTCATTTTTTGACTGAATTCTAAACAGAATTTACCGACAATTGCAATAAAATAAACATACGAGACACAGATGTAAGCTTGTTTTATTGAGTTAAAGGCTATTATTTTCTTTGTCCTTTCTCCTTCTGCCTGTGTCATTCAAGTACAAGTCTCAGAAACGGGATTTTTTTTAGCAAAGCAAATCAGTGATATGTTCACAGCTCACCATCGAAAATTGATCCTTCAAATCCCCGTTGGTCCAGAATTTGAAAGTTAAAAAGACGACTCGCCTTTTCTTGAGACTGTAAATATATATAGGAAAGACCTGTATAGAAAAGGAATTGAATTTCTTAATTTGAGTAATTTCTGATACTTCTGAAGACTATTTAGATGTATTCAAGACCCAATTCAACCTCCAAAAATGCCGGACCATGTCCTATTATTGTTAGTCCAATTCTAATGAAACTTAACATAGGTAATAATGTTTACTTTGTAGCTACAGGGGATAAGCCCCTTCCCCGTAATAAAATTCGGACAACTCGCCTATACCATTACTGCAACTAACGACGGTACACCATTGCCCCTCTGGATGTATTACTTGCCCCTGCGCGCAAGCAAGTTTTGCGACGGGTCCGATTTTTACACTATGTAATATGTTATGGGTGGGTTGAACTGTTAATTGATTTAATAAATATTTGATGCCAATTCGTCAAGTCTAATGGGAATTTAAGTTGTGTGGCAAGTTTGCATCATAAACAACTCTATTATATGCTTTAAATGAATAAATCATTAGCTGATAATCAAAGTGAACTGCTTTGTGGGTATTCTGTGTTGTATATCGGGTGGCCCAAAACGATGACACTTTTCATTTCAGGATTTTTCAAAAACGTATCAAAGCTATTTCGACCTCATACTTATAAGGATATTAGCAAATTAGCATCTTTTCAGCAAATAACAGCTTTATAGGTTGAATCATTTGGAAATATCAGCCTTTTTAAAATTCTTTGTCAAAATATATAATGCCGACAATAAATTCTGTAATATACCCTCTTCAATTAAACAAATGCCCCACGAAGAGGACATTTTCAGCAAAATTAAAAAAAACAAACATGAATAGCTACCACCAGTGTGTTTTCTCTAACTGACAAAATTGACAATGGAGAAACTGAAAGACAGTATTAGAGAGAAATTCAATAAAATACCACTTGAAACCGGACAGGCACTATCTTGTCATGGAAAAAGGGAATTCAGGTGATCTTTGCCGAAAATGGTGGCTATATATTTTTTGTACAAGACAAGGAATTTTGAAAAGGCTGGGATTCCAAAATTGTTCGACATACAGCTGTAATGTGGTGAAAAGATGTCTTCTATCTCTAAAAAGGTCGAAATATTATGATTATAGCTTTACTTTGATACTTCATGAGAAATCTTGAATTGAAAAGTGTTGCCGTTTTGTTTGGACCACCCGATATAGACAACAAGGTCCGTTGTCCTGTACGTTGTGGAATGCAGTGAAAACAAGACGAAGCAACTCTTCTACATAAACTTTTTTTATTTTCTACTGTATCGCAAATCCAAATATAATTAAAATTAGATGACAGTTTCGTTTCTCTTTTGATCAATAAGGAATTGTGGTACATGTTATCGAAACCTAAAGTAGAGCAATATGGCAACTTCCCTGTTAAAACAAAAACTTCAAACCGGACAACTCGACAATGGACCATATTCATTGTCCTGATCGATTAATATCGTTTAGTGACAATTTTTATGATGGTGCTTGAGTTTTTGAAATAATAAATGATTGAATTTTATTGTTGCTGTTATATATACGGCTAAAACCTACACCACTTAATATCAAATATATATGACTATCAATAACATTTTCTGAATATACCCTTTTAGAGACATATATTAATCATAGTATTCATACATCCGGTCCATTTCATTTGGAAACGGTTTCAGTAAACTACACGCATCGAACAATTAACCATCTAGACCCTTCAGATCAAACAATGTATCCTATCCTGAACCTTTTTATCAATAGCCCGTAGATAATCAATTATAACAACAAATTAGTCGAATCATTGATGTCAAATTGAGTCTCCCAGAGAAAATTGTGGAGTAAAATTAGAAATGATGAAATTCAATTTCGCGGGTGACGCCCATAAACTTTATGATAAAGCATGATTACTCTTTTCGAAACACCTTATGGCAATTCTCTTTTGAACAGTCCACTATATACTATACAACTTTTACTCTAGATTTCGCCATACTTTGGACTATGTTTTGATTAACGGAATTGTCTTACTTTTTTGATCCAATTTGTCTATAATATCGTAATGTCGACCCTTAAACTTTATATGCTTAAAGATAATCTCATTTGGGCACTATTTATTGTTTTTGTCTAATTCCATCCTGCAGATAGATTGCCCTTTTCGATCATAGCACTACATTATATCATTCAAAATTTGCAATTGGTATGCTATCTTGTTTTGCTGCTTAGTTGGACTGAATAGTTTATAATCAAAGCCAGTTATACGCGATAGTTTTGATCAATGGCTTGCTAACGAGTCACAATCTCATTTTTAACTTTTTTTTAGATCAGTGGTTGCTCACTACCATCGTGTTACTATCTGCTGCCTAGTAGTCACGTAATTAAGATCGAAAGTGGCTCAATGCCATCGTGTCACAATCTAGAGCTATAGTTTGTACGCGATAGCCTTATTGAATGGTCGCTCAAGCTTTATCTCCTAGCTAGTTTGACAAATTGTGTTTTAAACCGATGGTGGCTCACTGGCACCATGTTTGCTGCCTGGTTGGTCACGTAATTAATATCGAAAGTGGCCCAATGCCATCGTGTCACAATCAAGAGCTATAATTGTACGCGATAGTTTTATTTAATGATGGCTAACTGCTATCGAAGCTCAATCTCCTAGCTAGTTTGGTGGCTAACTGCTATATCTGGTACTAAAAGTTGTTTTAGATCAATGGTAGCTCACTGGCATCGTGTTACAAACTGCTGCCTGGTTGGTCACGTTATAAAGATTAATAGATTGCTATATCGTATTCCTCAAAGGACCAATAACAATTATAATTGATATTTTATTGATTGGTTAGTTATAATTGTTTGACTTATTATACCATGACGGTCTTGTATCATATCATTTGATTCGATTCATCGATCTGACCAAGTTTATTATCCCAGATATAACTGTCTCAGAAATGAACCTCCTCGGCACGTGTTTCTGGTGATTTGAATATAAAGACGCGCAAAAGTGTATCGTAAACGAAAATATCGTGTGTTTTTTGGTGAATTTTCTTAAACAGAATACATGTATTTGCAATTTTTTGCTCCGGATAATTGTAAATTAGGAATCCCAACTGAACTGATCGACTGATCTTAACGGAGTTTTACGTCCTATGCCACGTTTATTGAAATAACGAGGATACCTGAGCAGTAAAAGATAAAAATGTCTTTCACGTCGAACCTGATCATCATTGTTGGTTTATTCCGAGGCTGTACAGGTAAAATAAATATTATCAGTTTCGAAAATTCTTTTAGAGCTTGTTATCGGTGATGTTCAGTCAAGTTTGTATTAGGGCTGTCTCCTTAGAGGTATACTACCTCTTAGAATGGACATAGAATCCATAGTCTCTCAAACTCTGCCAATAAGAGTATATATTCATTAGTTGGACTAAGGTTGACTAAAGAATAGAATCTTTATATAACACAATATATCCATTAAACTAAGTAATAATTGAAAAACGCTTCTAAGCTAAGTTAAAAAAAAAGTTTTTTGTCGCCCTAAGAGGTAGTAGACCTTTACAATTAGTTAAGTTTTGATAAATAAGTTTATTGAATGAGGATGAGTGGGCGAGACGATATATTCTCACTCTGAAACATCTGATGAGCTTGACTTAACTCGACATCATAGAGTCCATATAATTCAACCCTTTTCATTCTATAATAATCCCTTCCAGGATCCTTGATCGACTGCATAATCCCCCTTGCCCTTATAAATCCTTACTATTTCATGATTTTCTCCTAGATTTTTCAAGCAATCTTTTCCACGTCGGAGAATATAGCCTGGCTGAATAGAACAGCCTGAATTACACCCCCACACCCTGAGAATGTCAAATTAATTACCCCCAGGCTGATTGAATATCCCTGGCATACTCCATATACGCGATTTTTGATGTAATTACTAAAAGCGACAGGTGCGCCATTTTTTCTCACCGATCGTACCTTAGATTAGCTAAGCCAGTCAGTAATAGTATTCACAGCTCAGCATCGAAATTTGAGCTTTCAAAGCTATGTGTGTCTCGTTTTCGTTTTCTCGTTTAAAAGTAAAAAAGACGACTCGTCATTTTAAGATACTCTATATATAGAAAGAGAGTTCAATTGTGGATTTAAGGAATTAAACTATTTTTGTACATTTTAGTACCTTTGAAGACCTATATTCAAGACCAAAATCACCCCCCCCCCCCCCCCCCCCCACC